AATAACGGCGAGAAAACACAAAAATAAGAATAATTTTTTGAATTTCATGTGGCGCTTAAATAATTCCGTTTTGATGGTGGATTGAATTTTTGGTTGAATACTTTTAAAATGAGCTCAAAAACGTCTCTTTTTGCCTGTTTTTATAACAATTTGTATGTGGTGCAGAAAAATCTATCAAAAAAGATTTTATGGGGTTTTAAGAGAGCTTAAAAGAATTTGGGCAATGTAAACATAAACACAAAAAATGTGTTTAAGTTTGCCCAAAAAGAATTTGGGCAAACGTAAACACAGTTTTTAAAAATTCGCCAAACCCTCCTTTAAAAAATCCTAAATCCGTCCCTGCCACGGTCTGTAGTGGCGTTAACCGAATACTGATTGCCGCGTAAAAAGTGAAATGTATGGAAAACTGTGGTTTTCACTTTTTTGTGATTAATGATTTTAATAAGGACAATTTTTAAGCCACTCGATGCGATGTTAAAACCTTTATGGTATTCGAGCTCTCGGCTAGTCGATACATTGCCTAAAAATTGTTCCAAATGGGTTGAAGCAGACTATGAGTCATACTTTTTACGTTGCTATGAGCGATATCTATCATTTTGTACCAGATATAGCGTGAGGGAGAATTATTTTTTTTCATTTTTTCCAATTTCGATTGAAAAATTCATCCTTTTTTATGCACTAAACACTGTTCAAAAACCATAAAAGGCAGTCGGAACATTCAGGGCCTCGCCTTGATACGAGCAGTCTTGTCTTATGCTTTCAAATTCAAAAAATCTGTATATGTAACTGTAGAAAAGTTCCCTTTGTAGTGTATTTTAAACTATTTTAAGAAAGAATTGAATTTAAGAAAAACGAAAACTGATTTAGCGTAAAAATTGAGATGTCTCTTTTTTGTCCACATTGGTTGCTTTCTTCTTGTTCCAGTTTTCGAAAAAATGGAATACTTATGCTTGCTGTGCTTTTTTTAAAAAGTCAATTTTTTTCGATCGAAAAAATAGTTTTCCTAAAATCTAAAATCAACCTTAAAAAGATATTTTCCGATTAATTTTTGAAAAGTTGTGGGAGCTTGAAAATGGCCAATTTCGTTACGCTCTGCACTAATTTATTTGCACTTTGAAGATTTCACCCATAATCCTGAAAGCGTAACGCAAATATTTATGCGTGGCGATTTATCCCGCCTAAAAAAATTGTTCCAAACTGAATTTAGGCTAGCTAGTCGGTCGTATTGATTTCGTAGGACTCTAAATTTCACACTTGATATTTGATTTTGTCCATAATTTTTTGTTTTTCAATTTTATCTCTTCCCAAAACACTATATGATATGGATTAAGGGGCAGACGGAACAATCAAGGCTTTGCCCTCACATACAAGCAGTTTTGTTGCTTTTTATTGTTCCGACTTTCGATACAAAAGTAACGGAACATTTGTGCTCGGGGTGGGTTTTTTTTTTCTTCAGACAAATTTCGACTTCTTAACTAGCCATTTTTCGTAAAGTTATGGGGGTTTAAAGATTGCCATTTTGGCCAATTTGGGACAATTAACTCGCGATATAATTCGCGCTATTAACGCGTAAGCGGAGAGTTAATCCGTCTTAAAATCGATACGAGCAGTCTTGTTAGTGTATAGATTTTAAATAAAAATATTAAAGTAATTCCATTGATTAAGTTTTTAAGGCTTTCGGAGTTGAAAGGAGCTTATTTGCCATAATTGGTTTGTTACAAGGAGCAAAATCTATCCTTTTGTACTTTATTTGGCGTGTGGATGGGATGATTTTCATAAAAAATTTCAAATTTTAGAAATAAAAATTTTCATTTTATTTTTATTACATTTAATTTTTTGATGTTATTACTGCTCCATAAAACCTTAAAAGGCAGTCGGATATTCAGGGCTTCGCCCTGATACGAGCAGTCTTGTTAGGGTATAGATTTTAAATACAATTATTTAAATAATTCCATTGATTAAGTTTTTAAGGCTTTCGTTTTGTATAATTCGTCCTTTATTAAATTGATGTTGATAATGTTGCGCAGGGACATAAAATCAAACCCTTTGGCCTGTTTATATCCCTAGGTAGGCTGTAAACGGGCAAATTTATGGGGGGGCACATTTTACTATGAAAGAAGAGTCAGTCGGGAAAAAATATAATCCATCTCAGAATACAAAGTCAGAGCTTAAAATAAAACTCCAATTACTATGGATTACTCATTTCGAGTCAACTTGTCAATTTAAAACAGAATCTAAACAGCCATGCTTAGCCATAAAATCAACAAACTAGATGGATTTGCTGAGGCTAAATTGACAACAGGTGACAAATTGTACCTGACATTAACTCTACTTAATCGGTTGTGACATTTACTGCGGGTCTCAGTCTAATTAAGTTACCATTTTAGAAGACCAGTTCATCTAGACCAGTTTCGGTATATTTTTTGATTCAAGGAAAAAGTGTATTGCTTTCCTATTGTTATTTTATTTTACCAATAACATTTCCAACTTGAGTAACCAAAATATAAAAGCAGTTATTTTAAATGTAACGAACACCATCTTTTTTGCTTATTTAGTTCTTGGAGAACAAAGAAAAATCATAGAATGGAAAATATATTAAAGTAAGCTGATGATGACGAATTTGCTTTATTAATTTTTGTGTCGAAAATTGGGCGATTCTTTTACATAATTTTTATAGAAAGAGGAACAGTCAATCATCTGTCGAGTGTTGTTTTTTCTTCCAACTTGTTCACATTTGCACGATGTGACATAAACAAGAGTTAATAGCTCGCAGTTGTCATTTTCAGATGTCTTCGTATTCTTATTCTCGTCTGCTTTTTTAAAATTGCTGTCTCAAAAAATGTTCAGGTGAAAAACGGAGCCTTTCGTGTCAAATTCAGCTGCCTGATTCTTTGCACAAAAATTATAAAACATTAAAAAAACGGTCGTTTTGTCTGAAAACGGACATAATAACCCAAGTTTTCTTAATATTCCTTCTACTGTTCAGCAAACGGACATATTAAGCAGAAGAATTTCATTTATATTCGAGTTTGTTTTCACAACCATTATTATCGTTTCAAAAGCTATCAATATTGACTTCCATTTAAAAATACCATATTTCAAATGGCTACATATTGAACAAAAAAGGCCCTCCTACCGATGGCTTGTCCGTGGTAATTGAAAAGAAGAAAAAGAAGAAGCAATTAAATATTCAAGCTCAGACTTTTTAATATTCAGTTTTACTTAACGGATTTAAATTCATGACGCACTTTTGATTGATTTAAAAAATTATCAATTAAAAAATTTGTAAGTAATACTTTTAAAATAAAAAATATATATTGGCTTCCACCTGTTTATTAAAGAGACCATTTTTATACCGTGTGACGGTTTGTACAAAAGTAGTTTCTCTGAGACAATAAAAAACACCATCTTAAAAATCATTTTTCAAAGCAAAATATTTTCAAGCAGAGACTTTTCCGTTTTTCTTCTCTCATGCTTTGTTCTCACCAATGTTTAATTTTTTTTAAAGATCAGTTACCTTGAAAAATAATTTTGTCTATGGTTAAAACATCAATAAATAGTTGATTGCAAGTGAAGCTCATTCACGCATCTCTCAAAACTAATTTATATACATTTCATCAAAAACAAACTGAATTCTGAAAAAATAAAGTCGACCAAATAAAATGAATGACCAAAAAACGAAAAAAAAACAATGTACACAAACATTTTTGCTCGGCATCAATTTTTTCAGCAAAATTGAGCTCAAAAACAGCGTCATTGAGCAATATTTGAATTTTTTGGGCGTGCGCTTTCCTTCAGCATTAAAACAAGTTAGTTCCAATGGCTTTTTACCAGTAGTTGAGCTATAATAAATCAGCAACAAACAATCAGAGTTTAGAAATGGGCAATTTTTGAAATTCGATAGAGCAAAATGAAAATGTGTGCAAAGTTTTTAATGTTGCCATCTGCTGGTCATGGATTGCGGGTTCAAATCTGCAATTTACAAGGTGAGCTCTTGTAAGATTGTCATAGCTTAGTTAACAGTAAATAATTAACCTTCAGGTTGAGCCGCTGGCTGGTTAACTAAAAAAGTTATTATGATTGGCTTTCTCACGTTTTAAAGTAAAATATATCAGGGGCGGATCTAGGATTTTCTCGAGGGGGGGGCGGATTTTCAAAAAAAATTCGAAAATTTTGACGACCTTTTTTTTTTTTTTAGGTCAACCAAATTGATTTTTCAAGCTCTCCCAAAGCACTGCTTTGCCCCTATTTTGGCCAAATTTTCTGCGCCGCAGGCAAATTTAAAAAAAAAAACAGTCAAAAAAGCCGTTTTTGGGCGCTTTTTGAAAAATTTTGACAAAAAAATTGCGTTTTTTTGGCGCGCGCTCCCCCTCAAAGTTAGTATATATTGGCGCCGAAGGCGCCTTTAGAAAAATTTTAGGGTCGGTCGGCCAAAAATGGATTTCTGAAAAAGTATCAAAGGGGGGACCCTTTGGGTCGGCAGGGGGTCGAATCCCTGAGGGGGGGCGTCCGCCCCCCCCCCCCCCTAAATCCGCCCCTGAAATATATTGTCTCTGTCTGCTAAGAAGTTGCCAAGACATTTATCGAAACTTCGACAAAATTTTGATGCTATATATTATTTAGTTCAAGATAAATTTTTTCAAGTTTTTTCAAGCACTGAAAATGTACAGATATGATTCCCACTCGTCTGTATTGAAGTTTCTTTCAAGTTCCGAAGACACAGCCAAATTCTATACTTTTCTTACAAAGTTAGAACAAAACGTTCTACTCGAAATGAAATCTGGTCAGAACAGTTTCGAAAAAAGAAATCAAAATCGATTCTAAAATCTACAACAACTTTAAACGATTTCTAATTTCCCAATTTTTTTTTTACAAAATTGCCTTTTTATCCCCTTTTTAGAGAGTTCAAAAGAGACTAAAACCAAATTGAGTTTATGGTATAAATGTATGGCTCGAATTACAAATCCAGATGTTATGCCTTACCATACTTTTAATTTCAGGAGTCGTAATTTCACCTTGGCCGTGTAAGTAAAAATAGTTATTTCTACAGCCAGTTAATTAACACATTTTGTATAGTCAATTTCTATTTGCGGACTGTTCTTTCTGAACTGATCTTTGATAAGCAACTGAGTGTTTTGCCTCCTGTTGTGACCCACACTCTTTAGAGGTCAAACTTCAAATGCTAACCTCTTTCTCAAACAACTGAAGTTTCTTGTTAAACTTAACCGTGTTTGAGAACTATTTTAATATAAAAAAGTCGGAACAAAAAAAACAAACCTACGCCCGTTACTGACTGTTTAATTTTTGGCTTGGTTTAATTTATACGCAGTCGGACAATTTTTCAGATTTTATTATTTGGAACATTCGACTCATATTGTGGCTTTGATTCAAAACGGAGCCCAGGTATTTGGAGGAGCTTTTAAATCTGAAGTAGACTATTTACAACTCTGGTAGGTTGCTAAATTGAGGTTAGTTTTCTACCAAGACAAGTTGCGACTTCAATTTTCTAGTCTATTTGCTTTCCATTTTTGGCTAATTAGCATAATGCGCACTTAGCATAGGAATTCACTGGCACAAGATTAATTTGATCAACTGCGTAGGTTACAAAATTGTGGACTAAGAACTGAAAATATTCCATAAATTATCCGGTTGATTAGATCATTTTGAATAAAATCCATTTTAGCGCACGTTTTTCATTTTTTTTGGTTATTTATTTTAACTTTGAACGAATTTTGAAAGCAATGCCAATCGAGAAAGTTCGGACTTATAATGTTAATTGGAGTTTATTCTAGTTGATACCCCTCTTTTTAGCCCAATTGTTGGCCCCCAAAATAGAGGTGGAACTACTGAGAAATCAAATCCAGTCTAACTACCTGAACACATTTAACTTGCCATTTGAAGTTATTACTAATTTATTACTTCTTCAAACCATGCTGGCTATTTTATAACATTACACCTTGGAAAACGCATTTATTGTTGTGCGACAATGAAGGTCTAAATATTTGCATTTTCGAACTTTCACTTCAAGATCAACGTTGTGGTTTGCTTCACAATCAAATGCCAACCTAACAAAATGTGCTCTTGATTTAGATCAAATCCTCCGTCGCCCGAGCATATTTTCCTAACTGAAAACTGTCAGTTTCTTCTGGAACATATTAAACTGCAGCATATCGAAGATTACAGAAGTTACTTTTTCTAAGCTTACAATTTTTTTGCCGCTCAGAAGCGTTTCATTTGATAAGTTTATTCAAATTCATTAATAAATTTATTCTTTGATTTTTTAATTTCGTTTCTCTGGCTTAGTATTCATAAGTTTGAGCATCAATGAGTCAGAAGCGACACAGCCTACAAATACACTCCTCGTATGTCATCTTCAATCTATTTAAACTTTCCTGAAGATTTCCGAAAATTGAGATGAAAAATTTCTTTTGTTTTCCAAAATTAATTTTGATAAAGCAACCTCAGTCCGACTTCTGACTAGTGAACAGGGGCGGATCTATGATTTTCTCGAGGGGGGGGGGGCGGAGTTTCAAAAAAAATTCAAAAATTTTGTCGATTTTTTTATGTAAACCAAATTGATTTTCTGAGCTCTCTCAAAGCAATACAAAGACCCTGTTTTGGCCAAAATTTCTGCGCCGTAGACAAAGTTTTGAAAAAAAAACAGGCCGAAATGACCAAAAAGTTGCGTTTTTTTTTGGCGCGCGCTCCCCCCTCAAAATTAATATATATTGACGCCGACGGCGCCTTCAGAAAAATTTTAAGGTCCGTCACCAAAAATGGATATCTTAAAATAGTACACAGGATCGGCAGGAGGACGAATCCCAGAGAAGGGGGGCATCCGCCAAACCCCCCCCCCCCCTAAATCCGCCCCTGCTAGTGCATGCATTTTTTTGTGAACTGCATATTGCTTTGATGACCTCTTTTCATCAAAAAACCTTTGTAATTCTTGTCCGAAATTATTTTCAGCTCCATATAACTTTTCAAAGATTATGCCCTTTCTTTTCGCATTCTGAATCTTCCTCAGTAACAGCATATTTCTTAAATAATCACGGAGTTACTAGACTTCAATTTGGTAGGGTTGATCAGAAACTCTGGATTATCTCTCAACCCTTCTGCCTTTCTCTATTATCAGTTGTTTTTCTTTTCATGTCCACAAATATGGTCATACATGTCCGATGGTATGGTCTTAGAGGTCAATATGTATGGTCATATATGTCCACAAAATTTTCACAAGTAGGACCACGTATGTCTATATGTATCGCCGTGTTTGCCCATTTGCTTGACCATGTAACTCGATAAATATGGCCACATAATGCCAAACTTATTAACATGTATGTACTTGAGTATGGCCATGTATGTCCATATGTAAAAGCGTTTATGTCCATAAGTATTTTTATAGATAAAACGATATATGTCCATGATCATATGTATGACCTTTTTTGTCCATATGTATGGCCATGTATGTGTCCATATGTAAGAAATTGTATCACTGTAAGTTGTAACTATTGCAACCTAGGTTTATATGTATGGCCATCTGTGTCTGTATGTATGACTATGTATGACTTTATGTTGGGCCATGATTTTCTATATGTATGGTCATGTATGTCTAAAATTAGGGCCAATTATGTATATTTAGAGCTCTGAGGAGTGGGAAGGAGGTTGCCATAAGTCCCCTGATGGAGTCCAACACCTTCTCAGTGCGACTGCAGCCCAAGGCAGAGTCAGGGGAGGTCATGTTGTCCGAGGACTTCCTGGAGCTATCAGTATTCAAACTAGACCTCAAGACAAGTTAGTACAACATTTGAGCCTCCTGTTCGCAAATGATTTGGCAAAAACTAGTTTTTGGAAACTCCGTGAAGATTACCCTTTCTTGATATGTTTTTTTTAACAAAAAAAAAACAAACTTTCAAACTTGATGATACTGATGCACTAACTGTTCAAATTTTGCTTCAAATTGGGCGTTATTTCTCGACCCAAGAAATCACTATGATCTTCGTGAACACGCCAACTAAAACTAATAATTTGCAAGGCTTAAGACAAGCGGAGCGTATCTAACGTATCTAATGAAATCGGATCAGGGTTTGGTTCATTTCAAACGGACGGTAATTGAATGAAATGACTGTAACACCACACCCGCATGGAACGCCCGGTACTATTGGTCAATTTGTTTTGTTTTCTTTCATCAATGAACAGAATTTTTTAAGCCTTTAAAATGTAATTCTGAAAACAAATTTATTTTTAGTATAAATCTTGGAAGCAAGAAGGTTATAAAACTGGCCGTTTGTTTCACCTCAAAAAATTTGACACAGTGAAGTATGAAAAAAGATTTTTATTAAAAAAAAAATTGAATTGTTTCTATTCCAGACACGAGTAAGCTGCAAATAGTCATCGACATGCTCGAAATAACATCAATCCGAGACAAGCGAAAACTAAAGTTCTGCATGAAAGAGTTCGCCATACCCTGCTCCTGCGTTGGAACTTACGCGGCTCTAAACACCTCCCCTATTAGCCCAATACAACCCGGTACCAACTGTCAGTTTCACAACGAAGGACTCAACAGATCAGTTTGCATACATTACGGTCGAAGATTTACAGACAAGTTTCTGTCTTTAATTTTCATGACGACTTCGGAATGCGAAAGATTTGTTCAGTTGGTTGAGAAGGTTGTTCAAATTGGTTCGCATACTGACTCGCTGCATTCGAATGTGAAGTTAAAAAGGGCGTTTCGAGACATGATTCAGAACTCCACAGTGCTCATTCAACATCATATGAAGTCTGGTAATGTCTCAGGTCAGACAGTGTTTCATAATTTTTTTAGATCCGACCTCTCTTGTCATTAGAATAGCTCAAAGACGAGACGTCACGCATAATTTTCAATCAGATGATCTTAAAAAGCATGTGAGCAATTGTCTCCTAGATCCCACTAGACAAGAAATCAGCGCAAGATTTCCAGTTTGTTAAGAACTTGTACAGTTACAGTTTAGTTTCAAGTTAGCTAAGTTCTCAAAGTTTGAATTTTTTTACAGATTGCTCAGGGTTTGAACAATTTAGCTGTCCAAGATGTTGCCACTAAACTTTTGTTATGGAACTTTTGTTTTTAAAACTTCGATAAAACTTTAAAAAAATGCAAAAAATTGTTTTTTATTGTGAAGGCCCAATTTAACTCGAAAGCCTAATTAACTGAAGGCCCACCCGCACTGGAGTTTCAGGGATAATAATTGATTATGTTGTCATTTTATAGTCAGTATCCATAAAATAACGAAGTAATCGATTAGAATCCATTAAAATGGATTATAATCCTATTTTTATATCAATCTAATCCATTATAATCGATTATAATCGATTGAAATGGATTTTTCGAGGGGTTATTGGCGAACTTTGCAAATTTTGCAAGTTATCTCATTTCCTGTTTAGGGCAGTTCCTACGGATTACGTTTCATAAACTTAAGTTTTTCACAAAAGATTTTTTACATTTAAATTTTTCTACTTTTTCAATTTGGCAGTTTAACATTTAAATTGTTTTTTTTTACCATTGCCATAGTAAAAATTACCATTCGCCCACTGCACGTACCCCGCCCACTAACTCTCTTTCCTCACTTGAATGAAGGGGATATTTAATTGGTTGAACACCTCCCCCCCCCCTACTTGGGTGTGCAATTAACTCCCCCCCCCCCCACTGTTTAGGCCACCGCCACTGTGTGTGGGGGGGGGGGGGGGCGGTTGCGGGTAACAGGAGGTGGTGGCGGTAAAGTAGGTGATGGGGCAGGGGAGGTGGTGGGGGTAAAACTTTTTTTTGACTTATTTAGGTTGAGGTTGAACATGTTTGTTCGGGTTATAAATTTGCAGAATGTTTCCAAATGTTTCAAAAGTTTAACTAGCTGTAAACAATTTTCTGCAGAAAAAAATTGACTTTCATGGACTTTTGTGGCCTAAAAATTCGATTATATTGTTAAAATAATCGATTATAATGGATTTTTAAAAACCGAAAATATTCGATTATAATCCCCTAAAAATCCATTTTCATGGTTGGATGGGCCATGAAAATCCATTATATGCGTTAAGTTTTTCGCCGATATAATCCAGTATAATCAATTATTTCACATGAATCTCCAGTGCGGGCTGTTTGTAACAGATTCGATCTTGCGTATTTCGCTTGCTTGGCGATGCGATTTTCTTGGTTATCTGCGCGGCTGTTATTTCCAATCAAAAGCAGTTTAATTATGTCTCGTCTGGTCCCAGCTTCGCCTCGACTTTACCTTGACAGGTTTTTCAATCCGAATTTAATTCTAACTTGGAAGAACCCTTGACAAGAAATTAGCGCATACTTTTTAGTTTGGTCGCTATCAATTATTATTGCTTCTCAGTTAAGCTTAGCAATCGATTATTGCAACTATGCACCTTCGTTCTAAGAGAGAGTTTTAAAGTCAAATTATTAAGTTGTTTTAAAGAAAAATCCACTCGAGTTGATAGTTTGAGCAAACGTTTTTGTCTTAAAATTGGTGTTAAAATTTGCACAGAAACCACATGTACAAATGTACAATACATTCGTGTTCCCAAAAATTTGTCAATGAATTCTGCAACAAATTATTCAATTTGGCAACCAATTGATTTCATACAAAAATCATTGATTTTTATGTAACCAATGGTTTTTGGAATCAGTTTGTTTTTGACCACCTCTGCTTACAAGAACAAATAGTTCCCCCCAATAAGTTTAGAGACAGTTTGGCATCAAGAACATCAGAATCAGAATATTTTCGATAGAAAAGAAAACAAAAAAGTTCCTTTGGTGATTTATGTGTTTTCCAGGAAGATCTCTTCAAGGGTCAATCCGCAAACTTGGAATCCAAATGAAAGTGTCTCCCATGAATTCGAAGTCGGTCCATAAAGGACGCATAGTGCCCTTCCGCGTGTACCCTCCCGATCCCACGGAGAGTGTAGAACAGGGCAAGATATTCATGGCAGACGTGAACAAAATGCCACTGTCGTTTGAAGAATATTCTGGAATAATCTCGACACTGCTTGATGAACAGAAACTGTTTGACATGAACAAACTCACTTTGCAGATTGGAGTTCAAAACATAAGGGACGCTTTCATGTAAACAATTTTTCAACACTTTTTGTAAATTTTTTCAAAAAATTGAGGAGGGAGGCAGCAAAAATTGTGAAGCGATTATCGAAATATTTTGTTACGTGTTTTTTGTAGAGTTAATGAAAAATGTATTAATCTGTGAGGTTTATGACAAAATTTTAGAGAATCTAAAACAAAAGACGCAAATCCGAGGAAAACAAAAGACGCACAACGTCACTTCTGCTTGGTTTCTTTCTTTGCCGCACAATTTTTTTTCTTTATCCATCCATTATCAATATTAATTTCACCAGGTCTAATTTATAATTCTTTAAAAAAGAATCTTACAGTGTTCTGAGGAATGAAATCAGGATTTGAGTTCTTGAATGTATTTGAAATTGTTGCAGGGACTCTAATGACATCAAGAACCACCCCCACTTCGACGCTGTGCACCACGACATGAGTCATCCCCTGACCAAATACTTCATAGCCTCCTCCCACAACACATATCTCACGGGGGACCAGCTGTTCAGTGACTCATCCCTCCACGCCTACGCCAGGGTGCTGGAGTTGGGGGGACGCTGCATTGAGTTAGACTGCTGGGACGGAAACGATGGGGAGCCACAGGTCAATTTTTTCATCTGTTTAAACGAGTAACATGAAAAAAATAATCTCTTATTTCTACTTTGAGAAAAACTTTTTCCAAAATATAAAATTACTATACAAAATTATACTAAACACTCATCAGACCTATGTTTTTGGACTATAGAGAAAACGAAAAAAGTCATAATTTATGCCCGCTGAGAGTCTACCCTTTGTCAAAAACCAAACAAAAACATAATTTATCATCCGCATTTTATTTATAAAATAACTCCGAGTTAAGTGAAAAGTGTCACTATTTTTCCTATGACACATTATTGCACACGTAAAAACGAATTTCTATGCTAAACTGAAGTTTTTGAAAAGTTTTCAGAAAAGTTGCGATATCTCGAAACCTAGAAATAGTTGGAAAGTCATTTTTTTTGGATTGAAATTGCAATTCGATACTATAGTCTGATAAAACCCAACAATAAGCTTAATGAAATATAAAAAATAGCTTAGCTATTTTTCTTCTTCATCCTACAAATTTTTCTGTTATTTTACATTTTTTTTTCGCTTTAGAAAACCCCAATAATCAAAAACTAGACAAAATTTGAATTGTCAATTTTTGATGTGAACTTTCGACTTCAATGGAAGTAGTTATGTTCGCGCTTAAATTAATGACGTCATTATAGCGCGAAAGTGAAAAAGCTAAAATTAGATTTGCTTAGACAAAAGGCCTCGAAAACTACTGGTTTGTTCGATTAAGGTCAGTTTGCCATCAAAAAGTTTATAGATTTTTGTGATTGTTGAAAAACCGTTTGATAACATGTTAACCGGAAGATGTTTGCCTTATTTTATATTATCTTTATATTGTCATATTATCTGTTTAAATTGCCGATAATTTACAGATGTTGAACCAGGTTTTTTAGATCTTACAGGATACGAGAGTGCGCCACATTTTGGTCCGCCGACCCGGACCGTATTCCGGACGATATTCCAGAGGACAATATTTCGGACCGTATTCTGGACGTTAGATATTCTGGACAGTATTCTGAACGATATCCCGGAAGATATTGCCAAAGACTCCCTGCAGTTAGACGAGACATCGACTCGGCCGCCAAGTAATTCGGATCTGGAGCTAGCGCAGCAGGAGTAGCCGGATCTGGAGCAGGAATCGGAAGCATCTTTGGATCTATGTTCATCGCCTACGCTAGGTACCCCTCAATGAAACAACAGTTGTTCTCATTTGCTATTCTGGGATTCGCCTTGTCCGAGGCTATGGGATTATTTTGTCTCCTGGTTGCATCCTTGATCTTGTTCACTTTGTGAGCGAAACTGGAGCGGATTATTACAACTAGATGCTGACACACAACAGTTGAACCACGAGCACATTTACTCGCAAGCTGGGACATAGATTAATTCACGAAACTCAAGGCTCTGAGCTGATCACTTAGTCGACTGATGCAGCACCACTAATTGACGATAAATTGTATCCATGTTACGAACTTGAAATTACTACTGTTAACGGAGACCTTTTCAGGTATCCTGATTGTGGATTGTGGACCCATTTTTTCTCGACACCCGAAGTTTCTGTGGAATTTGGATTCTACCGGTGAACGCCTCTACAAAACTTGTAAGACTAAAAAACCAAAACTTTATCCATCTGTGCTAACTTGCTGATCTGATGCTTTAAATTCTGATACGAAGTTTTTTGATGGCAAAATCGTAGCCCCCAATTTTTCTCGATACCAAAACCTGATCAGAAAATTTTCTGTGGGTTTAGGAAAAAACCGGCCTCATAAACCTTAATTACGTTTTCCTAACACCTTGTTTGTAAGCTCAACACCGTATCGAAAAAAAAGACCAAAAATTTTGAAAAAAAATAAATTGAAAATTTTTGATTTTATTTTCCAAAATTTTAAAGTTTTGCAAATTATTCAGCAAAGCGCCTAGTTTCATAATAATTTAATTTAAACGACCGAGTCGAGTTTTTTGCCCCAAGTTTTGGACTTTAAAAAAAAAAAATTCAAAATTTCGCAAACGCATCAGGTTATTGTTGGAACTTGAACCGTTGGGTGAAAACGTGGAAAAAATTTTCGGAAAAAAAATCGAAAAAAAAAAATTTTGGAAAATTTTCGGAAAAAATCCGAAATTTTCGAAAAAAAAAAAAAAAATTTCTGAAAAAACGCCGTGTTTATTCTTGAAACGTGAAGCAGCTAACTAAACTAGTTCAATTGGATAAAAGTAGCCGTAGTCGAGACCCGTAGCGTATTATTAAGCAATTCGTCTTACCTTTTGCTACAACCTTGTTAGCTCAGGGTGTTGGGGGAGGTCAGGTCGCGGTTTGCTTGATTCCCTCCCTCTTAAGTTGATTTAAATCACTAAATGTTCATACTAGCTGCTAGCTCGCTGCACCACGCTTTGAAAAAACTTTCCCCCGCTTCGCAAAAGCGTGTATCTCAATCGTGCTTAGCCATTCCCGGGTTAAGTTTCAACCATAACGCAGTGAACGTCCGTAAAACTTGTCAGTATCAACTTGATCACTATCTCTTAAAACGAACCGACATTGTTATTTGGCACGACGCTGTTAATAACTCTATTAGTCGACACCGTAGTAATAACTTTAACGCACTAACTCCTAACCAGCTTAAGAAGATTCTTTTAAACTATAAACGCAATATTTATGCAATCGTTTACTGTAAACGTGTAGGCACGGAAGATATATATAGTAAGTTGAAAGAGTCAGGTATATTAGTTATTAATATAGTAACAGACCTGATATCTAGAAGGAAGCAGAACCTCACTGAGTTAGGGCAAAATTACTTAGAACTACACCAGGATCCCTCTCTAGAACTGAAAACGTTTACGATCCTTAGGCGTTATAGCAAGAATTTGAAGTATATTATTTCAAAGAAAAATACTCCTAAGCCAGGAAAACGCAAGCGGCAAGCTAATCGAAACAGAAGAAATGCTGAGCAGCACTAGGAGTTAAATAAATTGCTTCTCTAAGGTGTGATATTGTTTAATGAGTCAGAATATAATTTATTAATACTAAATACAAGGTCTTAAATTAATTATTCCTTTTTTTTTCTCTCAAACTGAGCAGTTGAGCGGTTGAGTAGAAGTGAACAAGTTTAAAAGTAATCAAAATGACAGAACAAATTGAGTTAAAATATCGACGATTGATGAATGGTCGAACATCACTAGAAAATGAGCTTTCCGTAGTTCACAGTCGCATAACTGAGAGTTTAGAGGGACCAATTCGGAAAACAAAAATAAACGCCTTAATTGAATCTTGCAAGAGTATTCTCGAAAAAGCATTAGCTAAAAATGATGAACTTGTGATATTAGCTAATAAAACCGATAACCATAGCAAATTATTAACGGAGTTGGCTGCATGGTGGGATAGGATAGTTAAAGTTAACGATGAAGTAACTGGTAAGGCTCGCGCTCATATGGAATCTAATCAAGCTTCAGAGGTTTGCGTCAGTGAAACTAGTCGATCAAAAGTTTCATCAAAATCGGCAAAACCCGGGTCGAGTAAGCAAAGCTCAATGAAATCATTGACCCCCAGTGAGCGCCGCAAAGAGCTGCTCCTAGCGAAGATGAAGCGAGAAGAGTTGGAAAAACAACACGAAGCAACCTTAAGACTGAAACAACAGGAAGCCATCATCGAAGAGCAACAGCATCTGATTGAGATGGAACGAAAACAACAAGAAATTAAATTTGAAATTGACCGTAAAGAGCAAGAACATCGTTTACGAATCGAAAAAAGTCGGCTTGAAATGGAACTATTAAGCGAAGAAAATCGTATTAAAGTAGCTGAAGCAAAAATGGTTGAAACTGAATACCTCGAAGAGTCTGAAATAGATCAGCATCTTGAGCTGGCGTCTTCGGTTGATCGTCGTTCTGACAGGGTAAACGATTGGGTTGATCATGCATTAGAAAACCAAAAAGGACCCAAGGTAGTTCCGTCTTCTTCAAAGTTTGAAAACTGTATAAATATAGAAAGTGGTTCGCATCAACACAGAAATGTGTCCACAGCGGAAGCTTCACCTCGGCGATCGTTGCCGAATCGGACTTTTGATTGTGATCAACAATGTTATCCCTATCAACCAACCGTCTCCTTCAGCGATGGCGATGGAATCAAGCACGCTGTATCCACTAATCCTGAGCACGAAACGCAGTCGTTGCTTATTTCCAATAACGCTACACTTTGCAAAAACAATACATCATCATTTTTTAATCCAGCTGGAACAGCAGCTACCAATACTCCGGTATGCTGTTACTTCTCTGTACCTCATCCTTCGTCTTCCATTCAACATATCCCCGTCAACAACTTCAATAACGATTCCCGAGTTGTTGGAAACATGCCCACCATCTCCAATCAATACTCTGGATACACCCCCCATGCCATTGTGTCACAACCACCTGCAAATTTAATCTGCAGAAATCAAAACTTGCTATCACATAACGTGTATAGCAACCCTGCGTCAGTGAACAATGCGTTTAGCGGACAGTCTGCCGTTATTAGTCAGCCCAACTTGCCACTAATGTCGCAGTGGACACCCGCAGTCACCCAATGCATCACTGGGGTAACAAGTGATGGTAACACAAACCCATCAGTTGGTGTTTTTTCATCCGTAACGCCAATATCTCAGCAACAATTCCCCCACGTATCAAGTGGTGGTACCGTTTACTATGGGTTTCCCAATCACGACGCATCGGCTGAAAACACTTACATATATCAGCAGCAACCTTTTGCAGCTGATCCTAGCAACATATTGCCGTCGTTGCAACCAGTTCCCCAACCGCAAGCCGTGACACTGAATGACTTAGTCCAAGCTCTGTCAGTCTCAAAGAAGGATCCCCTTCCAGAATGGAAGCTGGCCCAGTACGATGGCAACCCGCTCCAATGGCACGAATGGTTTGGCCAATTTTGCAGTACTGTAGACGCAGCGTCCCTAAGCGATGATGTGAAGTTGACTTATTTAAAAACATTAGTCACGGGAAAAGCTAAGTCAGCCATAGCAGAGTTCGTATAC